GAATAACAGATCTAGCATGGAAAATATTAGCCACCCCTCACCCCTCCGCGAGCGAAACAAACACAAAAAAGAGAAGTTTATTTCGAAAATTAGAGATGGCACATGCAAATTTGCTTAGAACGGAAAAAGAATACCGCATATAGGTAGATGTAGTGGGCTCATGTGGCAAAACTGGGTTAAAGGTTTTTGGATGCACAAGTAGTGATCATACTTAGTGCAAAATGAAGTCTAGCAAAAGAATGGGAAGCGACCAACTAAGAAACAGATAATCTCATAAGCAAGCATTAATCATAAATAGCACCGAATAATGCACCACAAGTAGGATATAATTTCATTGCATGACTATTGACTTTCGTACTTGCATAGGTAATCACAAACCTTAACACCAATATTCTTACTAAAGCATAATTACTCATCAACATAACTCACATATCACATCATCATATCTCAAAACTATTACAAAGAATCAAGTTTATTTTGTCCAATGATCTTCATGAATGTTTTTATTATATCCTTGTTGGATATCTATCACTTTGGGACTAATTTTCATGTATTGCTTTTGACAAGCTCCAACAAATATAAGTGAAGATCATGAGCATAATATATTTTTCTTTCTCTCAAATTAATTTAAGTGAAGCAAGAGAGAATTTCTTGAAAATTTTACTAACTTTGAAATAAATCTAAGTGAATCAAGAGAGCATTTCTTCAAAAATACTAAAGCACGCGGTGCTCAAAAAAGATATGAGTGAAGCACTAGAGCAAGTCCATTGCTCATAAAAATTTAAGTGAAGCATACAGAGCAATTCTAACAAGTCATGACATAATTTTGGCTCTCTCAAATAGGTGTGTCCAGCAAGGATTGATGACTTAAAACACAAAATAAAACAAGAAAAGACTCATATCAAACAAGATGTTCCAAGCAAAACACATATCATGTGACGAATAAAAATATAGTTTCAAGTAAAATACCGATGATCGTTGGAAGAAAGCGGGGATGCCACTCGGGGGCATCCCCAAGCTTAGTTGGTTGCTCATTTTAGGATAATAGCTTGGGATACTAGGGCATCCCCAAGCTTAGGCTCTTCCATCCTTCCTTCATCCATCGTAAGATAACCCAAAACTTGAAAACTTCAATCACACAAAACTCAACAAAACCTTCGTGAGATCCGTTAGTATAAGAATAATAAATCACTACTATAAGTGTTGTACCAAACCAATTCATATTTTGTTCTTGTATTATATCTATTGTATTGCAACTTTTCTATGGCAAAAACTCATCAAAGAAAACCATAGAGCCATCAAAATAAGCACACAACAGAAAGAAAACAGAATCTGTCAAAACAGAACAGTCTGTAGCAATCTGACTATTTCGAATACTTCTGTAACTCCAAATTTTTAAATAAATTAGGACGACCTGAGAAATTTGTGTATTGATCTACTGCAAGTGGAATTGGTATTTATCGCTCTCTGATAAAAAATGAAAATTAATTTTGTGAGCGTAAAAGTTTCTGTTTTTTCAGCAAGATCAAACAACTATCACCCAAGAAGATCCTAAAGGATTTACTTGGCATAAACACTAATTAAAACATAAAAAACACAATCATAACAGTAGCATAATTGTGTTAACACACAAAAACAGGAAGCAAAAAGAAAAAAACAAAATTTATTCATTGGGTTGCCTCCCAACAAGCGCTATAGTTTTACGTCCTTAGCTAGGCATAAGGCAAGGATCTAAGTTTTGTCATCCTTGTCCAACTCTTCAATCAAACACATAGGATCCTTCAGAGATTTAGCATAAATATTTTCAATAACAATACTCCTAGGAATAAATTCAAAGATTTTATTCTTGCGATAAGGATCTCTTATCACTTCAACAAAATCCGGGTGAACACTAATCATCTTAAGATCTCCATTATTACTATTAATAGAAGTTGCACCCTTGTTCTAGGATCTACCCCTCCTTACGGGAGTTTTCTCGATATGGTTAGCGGAAGCAAAAGCCATGATTAGATTACTAAATATTTCTTCTAATTTATCAATATGAGACGGACTTTCTTCTATTCTTTCATGGATTAAGGTACCCTTATCTTTTAACAACTTAAGAATATCTCCCACATTTGACCCAATATTGGTAGAAAAATTATGAATCTTTTTATCTATAATTCCCATATGATCTTTGATGAGCATTTTCTTTTCAATAGCATCTAATCTTTGCATAACATGCTCAAGAGCTAAGGTTGTTTCATTTATCATGAGAGGTGGTGATCCCACTAAATTTCCCATAGCATTAAAGGTATCAAGAGAAGGACACATCAAGAAATTTCCACCGGTAATCGTATCAAGGATGAATCTATACCAAGTGGTGATGCCAACATAAAAACAACGAAGAAGAACAACGGTAGATTGCTTACGGGTAGATCTATATGAGCATTGCAAATCCTATACCAAGCATCTTTTAAATTTTCTCATCCCCTTTTGTTTAAAGTTGAGAACCTCGTTCTCGGGAGTGCAAGCGATAGAGGAAGAACTATCCATAATAACGGCAAACAAGGTTGCACACAAAAATAGATCCGGCAAGAAAACGGCGAACGAAAAAGAGAGGCGAATAAAATGGCAATTTTTTGTGAAGTGGGGGAGAGGAAAACGAGAGGCAAATGGAAAATAATGAAATTGCGAGGAGATGAGATTTTTGATTAGGAACCTGGTATATGTTGAAGATCCTCCCCAGTAACGACGCCAGAAATTCCTGTTGATGTTGCTTGAAGCTACGTCGGTATTTCCCCAAAGAGGAAGGGATGATGCAGCACAACGGCGGTAGGTATTTCCCTCAGATATGAAACCAAGGTTATCGAACCAGTAGGAGAGCCAAGCAACACAACGTAAACAGCCCCTGCACACAGATAACAAATCCTCACAACCCGACGTGTTAAAGGGGTTGTCAATCCCTTTCGGGTAACGGTGCCAGAAATTGGCAAACGGACGTGAGAGAGTTGTAAATATTGAGAGATCGAACACCAAATAAAAACACCAAATAAAATAAATTGCATCAAGGTATTTTTGGATTTTTGGTTTAATAGATCTAAAAATAAAAGGCAAACAAAATAGATCGCGAAGGCAAATAATATGAGAAAGAGACCCGGGGGCCGTAGGTTTCACTAGTGGCTTCTCTCGAGAAAAATAGCAAAGCGGTGGGTGAACAAATTACTATTGGGCAATTGATAGAACTTCAAATAATTATGATGAAATCCAGGCAATGATCATTATATAGGCATCGCGTCCAAGATTAGTAGACTAACTCCTGCCTTCATCTACTACTATTACTCCACACATCGACCGCTATCCAACATGCATCTAGTGTGTTAAGTTCATGGAGAAACGGAGTAATGCAATAAGAACGATGACATGATGTAGACAAGATCTATCTATGTAGAGATAGATCCCCATCGTTTTATCCTTAGTAGCAACGATACATACATGTCGTTTCCCTTCTGTCACTGGGGTCAAGCACCGTAAGATCGAACCCACTACAAAGCACCTCTCCTCATTGCAAGATAAATAGATCAAGTTGGCCAAACAAAACCCAAATATTTGTGACGCCCCGAGACCAATGCTCGAGAAGACTTCCATATGTTCCAGGTTTTGCCGTGTGTTTCATTTGTGTCTGCCCTTTTATTTTTTTGCGTTGCATCATGCCATCATCTCATAAATCTTTTGCAACTCAACTAAATAAATTGTATGGATCTTCAATCCATTTAAATCTAGGGAGATGCACATGGTGATTTTCTCTTTATAACATATATCCTCCCAATATTATTAGGGATCTATAATAAATATTCTAACACACTTGCAAAATAATTCCATGTATTTTGTACTTCAAGTTTGGTCCCCAAACTTTGCCCATAATTTCTTTCATCGCTTTCCCGTTCTCCTCAAAAATTCCGAACATTTTTGGACACTCCAAAAATGTTTTCCTAATTCAAACTTATTTGAATCACATTCAAATGTGTTCGAATGGAATCCTTCCAAACGGTGCCAAATGTATTTTTTTTCTTGGATCAAGCTCCTTTTTATGAGTCTAAGAAAATTGGCACCCTGCTCAAATTCTTCTCCTATCTCTCTCTGCTTTTCTTATTTCTCGGTTTATTTGTTATTCAGGAAATAAAGAAGAAATAAGAAGAGGGGGAGAGAGAGAGCATAGTCCAGCAGGCCTCTCTAGGCCCAGTCCATCCCCGCCGGCCTCTTGGGCCTCAGTTCAGCCCGGCCCACTTCCCACTATCCTCCCTAAGCCCACCTAACCTAACCTCTAAACCTAGCGAGCCTTTGCTCGATCTCCTCTCCCGATTCCCTCTCCCTCCGCCGCCAGGAGACGCACGCGCTTGCAGCCCTCTCCCCGACCTCCCTCTCGATCTCCCTCCAGCGCCGCCTACCCCCTCTTCCTCTCGCTCTACTCCCTCACCTCTCAGCGCAACCAGGAGGGGGATCCTGATCCCCATGACCACACACCCTCGCCGCCGCGCATCCCTGCCCCGCCGGCGAGCCTCTGCTCTACCGCCCCTGCCTCGACCTCCTCTGCAAGGAAAGTCGCGCCGCCGTGTTGACATGGCTTGTCCTCGCGTCTCCAGGCCACCGTCCCACGCTCTAACTCCTCTGCCCCGAGCTCCAAACGCCGCCCCATGACACTCAAGCCCCCCTGCTCCGGTGAGGCCTAGCTCCGCCGCCAACGAAGGTCGCCCGTTCGCCCGTCGTCTTGCTTTGCTGGAGGAGAGGACCAGCGCCGCCCCCATGCCCTTTGCTCGCGCCAAGGCCTGTCATCGCCGCCGTTCGAGTTCCACGCGGGATCCGGCGACCTCTGCCTCGAACACGCCGGCTTCATCCCGTTCCACGCATTGTTGTTGTTGTTGGCCATGAGCTCACCTCTGTGACCTCCCCTGCTGCTCCCTGCATCCGGCCTGGGACAGCGTGCACTTCCGGCTGCTACTGTTGTTGCAACGTCCCTGAGCATGAGCACTTTGCTTCGTCTTTTGCCTCCTGCCGAGTTCGGGTGGCCCCTGCTCAAGCCGCCAAGACCGCAGTCAAATGTCCGTGTACGACTACGCAAATACACAAGTCTTCCTGAGCTCACTTGGCCACAAAGTACCACGACGCCTGAAGACCTCGGATTCATCAAGTTCCCACGACAACTTAAGTGTACCCTTCGGATCGCCAAGTTCCACTACCGTCGCCAAAACTTGAGATGAAGTACCCCGATGGTTCGTCGAGACCGGCAAGTCACAAGATTGTCCTGGATATCGTCAAGTACCACAACGACCCTCGAAAAGTTCCGATTCAACAAGTTCGACTATGGAACGGGAACCACTACTTCAACTACCGCCGCCGTGATTTTCGACAAAACGTCGTGTGCCTCTACTTCCATTACCGTCCCGATGATCACAGATGAACGATAGCACTACTACTTCCACTACGACTGCCGCAAGAACGGGACCGGCAAGTCTGAAGACCCCAAGTACCACGACACCGATGACATGAACATCTACGGAATGTGTACGACTACACGATGTGACGCCAATTTCGATGACGATCGTGTACCACTACCGCTCCTCGAACATGAACGACTACTTCCTCTTCGACTCGTGCACCTCTACTTCCACGACCGTCGCGAGAAACGCCTACTTCCCTCTACGAACTCGTTCCGCCCGAAACGCATGCTTCGAAGGATATTCCTTCTCCCAGGACAACCCGATCAGACTCGGAATCCCGGTTACAAGACATTTCGACAATGGTAAAACAAGACCAGCAAAGCCGCCCGATGCGCCGACATCCTGATAGGAGCTGCACATATCTCGTTCTCAGGGCAACACCGGATGAGACATCCTACGAGTAAAACAAACCCTCAAGTTTCCCCGAGGTGGCCCCGCAGTCTACTCATTTCGGACCAACACTTAGAGATGCACGTGCCCGGGGGGGTTAAAATAAAGATGATCCTTGAGTCTGCAGAACCCAAGTGAAGGTGATAGGTTGTTAGTGCAAAACGTAAAACCAAGGTTAGGCCTTGCTGGAGGAGTTTTATTCAAGGCAAACTATCAAGGGTTCCCATTATAACCCAACCGTGTAAGGAACGCAAAATCAAGGAATATAACACCGGTATGACGGAAACTAGGGTGGCAAGAGTGGAACAAAACACCAGGCATAAGGCCGAGCCTTCCACCCTTTACCATCTATATAGATGCGTTAATTAAATAAGAGATATATTGTGATATCCCAAACAATAGCCATGTTCCAACAAGGAACAAACTCCATCTTCACCTGCAACTAGCAACACTATAAGAGGGGCTGAGCAAAATGGTAACATAGCCAAACAACGGTTTGTTAGGAAAGGTGGGTTAGAGGCTTTTCATGGCAATATGAGAGGCATGATATAGCAAGTGGTAGGTATCGCGGCATAGGCATAGCAATAGAGCGAGAAACTAGTAAGCAAAGATAGAAGTGATTTCGAGGGTATGGTCATCTTGCCTGAGATCCCGCAAGGAAGAAGAACGAGTCCATGAAGAAGACAAACGGGCGTAGTCGAACGAATCCTCACAAACGCAATGTTAACAGAACTAGCCCGAAGAAGCAACACCGGAAAGAAGCAAACAACATAGTAAACAACCATCACATAAACATGGCATGATGCACAACCAAGTATGATGCATGTCCGGTTTAAAGAGGCATGGTATGGCAAAGAGCACAAACAACACTACAAGTTAAGTGGAGCCCAATATGCAACGGGTTGCATATGGACGGAACACCACATCAATTATTTAGTTCTCTCTCGTGTAGGTACTCAACAATATTAAATATTGATAAGCATGGCAAGAGGTGGAGTATAAGTAAGCTAAACATTTAGGCAAGTTTAAATGAGGCCGGAACAACAAGCAACAATTCCGGTAAAACCTCATATGCATTTATCAATTTGGCGCAACAACAATTTTAATAAACATTTAAATGTTATTATCATGATGCAAATGACATGTGCGAGTTTTATGCAAGTTTTATGAAAAAATTGATAAGAGCATTCTGAAGCATTTGTCACTGTGGCGGAAAGAAAGGGGTGCCATGGTGACGAAACGGAAATGATGCTGTGGCAACATTCCGGTAATCCGGTAGCTCACGGGGGTACCGGTGCAAAAGGAAATGGGTGAGAGTGTGTCATGCAAGAAGATGGGGTGCTCCCGGATTCCGGGTTCCCACATGACGGTGGCAAGGCAAAAGACGGGCTTCGTGCAACGAACAACTCGGACACGGAGCAACACACGGTCCAACTCATACATCGCAAGCATTCCTCCATGGGCGTCGTCTCGGAGGTATACCTTCGAAGCATGCGTTTCGGGCGGAACGAGTTCGTAGAGGGAAGTAGGCGTTTCTCGCGACGGTAGAGGAAGTAGAGGTTCATGAGTTGAAGAGGAAGTAGTCGTTCATGTTCGAGGAGCGGTAGTGGTGCACGGTCGTCATCAAACTTGGCGTCACATCGTGTAGTCATACACATTCCGTAGATGTTCATGTCATCAGTGTCGTGGTACTTGAGGTCTTTGGACTTGCCGGTCCCGTTCTTGTGACAGTCGTAGTGGAAGTAGTAGTGCTATCGTTCATCTGTGATCATCGGGACGGTAGTGGAAGTAGAGGCACACGACGTCTTGTTAAAAATCACGGCGGCGGTAGTTGAAGTAGTGGTTCCCGTTCCATAGTCGAACTTGTTGAATCCGAACTCTTCGAGGGTCGGCGTGGCACTTGACGATATCCAGGACAATCTTGTGACTTGACGGTCTCGACGAACCGTCGAGGTACTTCGTCTCGGGTTTTGGCGACGGTAGCGGAACTTGGCGATCCGGAGGGTACAATTAAGTCGTCGTGGGAACTTGATGAATCCGAGGTCTTCAGGCGTCGTGGTACTTTGCGGCCAAGTGAGCTCAGGAAGACTTGTGTATTTGCGGAGTCGTACACGGACATTTGACTATGGTCTTGGCGGCTTGAACAGGGGCCACCCGAACTCGGCAGGAGGCAGAAGACGAAGCAAAGTGCTCATGCTCAGGGACGTTGCAACAACAGTAGCAGCCGAAAGTGCACGCGGAAGGAAGGGCCGGTCCCAGGCCGGAAGCAGGGAGCAGCAGGGGAGGTCACAGAGGTGAGCTCATGGCTAGCAGCAACAACAATGCGCGGAACGGGACGGAGCCGGCGTGTTCGAGGCGGAGGTCTCCGGATCCCGCGAGGAACTCGAATGGCGGCGATGACAGGCCTTGGTGCGAGCGAAGGGCATGGGGGAAGCGCTGGTCCTCTCCTCCAGCGAAGCAAGACGACGGGTGAACGGGCGACCTTCGTTGGCGGCGGAGCTAGGCCTCACCGGAGCAGGGGGGCCTCGGGCGTCATGGGGCGGCGTTTGGAGCTCGGGGCAGAGGAGTTAGAGCGCGGGACGGAGGCCTGGAGACGCGAGGACGAGCCATGTGAACATGGCGGCGCGGCTTTCCTTGCAGAGGAGGTTGAGGCAGGGGCGGTAGAGCAGAGGCTCGCCGGCGGGGCAGGGATGCGCGGCGACGAGGGTGTGTGGCGATGGGGATCGGGATCCCCCTCCTGGTCGCGCCGAGAGGTGAGGGAGTAGAGCGAGAGGAAGAGGGGGGTAGGCGACGCTGGAGGGAGATCGAGAGGGAGGACGGGGAGAGGGCTGCGAGCACGTCCGTCTCCTGGCGGCGGAGGGAGAGGGAATCGGGAGAGGAGGAGATCGAGCAAAGGCTCGCTAGGTTTAGAGGTTAGGTTAGGTGGGCTTAGGGAGGATAGTGGGAAGCGGGCCATCCTGGACTGAGGCCCAAGAGGCCGGCGGGGATGGACTAGGCCTAGAGAGGCCTGCTGGACTATGCTCTCTCTCTCTCCCTCTTCTTATTTCTTCTTTATTTCCTGAATAACAAATAAATCGAGAAATAAGAAAAGCAGAGAGAGATAGGAGAAGAATTTGAGCAGGGCGCCAATTTTCTTAGACTCATAAAAAGGAGCTTGATCCAAGAAAAAATACATTTGGCACCGTTTGGAAGGATTGCATTCGAACACATTTGAATGTGATTCAGATAAGTTTGAATTAGGAAAACATTTTTGGACAGTCCAAAAATGTTCGGAATTTTTGAGGAGAACGGGAAAGCGATGAAAGAAATTATGGGCAAAGTTTGGGGACCAAACTTGAAGTATAAAATACATGGAATTATTTGCAAGTGTGTTAGAATATTTATTATAGATCCCTAATAATATTGGGAGGATATATGTTATAAAGAGAAAATCACCATGTGCATCTCCCTCGATTTAAATGGATCAAAGATCCATACAATTTATTTAGTTGAGTTGCAAAAGATTTATGAGATGATGGCATGATGACATGATGCAATGCAAAAAAATAAAAGGGCAGGCACAAATAAAACACACGGCGAAACCCGGAACATATGGAAGTCTTCTCGAACATCGGTCTCGGGGCGTCATAACACTCCACCACTATGAGAGGATCTCGTCCCGAGATCTAGGATGGCACCAGAGAGAAAAGGAAGAGGAAGAGAAGATGTAAAACTAAGTTGCTTCTTGACAATTGAGTGAAACCAAAGAACCTTGAGAGGTTGAAGAAAACGAAAGAAAGAATACAACGAAGATGAACGAAGTCAAAAACACTCCGTTAGAAAAGGGGAACAAGGAACATTACTAGAACCTTGTAGGTTGAAAGACATCAGGAAAGGGTTGCAATGGAAAAGAAGTACATTCAAGCACTCCGGTAGAAATGAGATGCAAGACTTGATAAGATGAAAAGAACTTGAGTAGAGGACAGAACACTCCGGTTAAAACAAGGTAGAGAAGGAATAAGACTGATATAATTTGGGCAGCACTCCGGCTGTAAATGGAAGGAATTGAACATGATCTTGACAAAACAAGATGATGGGTCGAAGAGAGCAACATCACAATGCCTCCGTAAGAAAAGAATAGAAGTTAGAGCTTGTGATGGGCTAAGTTGGGACACCCCTGCAGGTTTTTGAACATTCGAAAGCCGTGCCCGCGGTTATGGGTAGATGGGAATTTGTTAATGTCCGGTTGTAGAGAACTTGAAACTTAACTTAATTCAAATGCATCAACCACGTGTGTAGCCGTGATGGTCTCTTTCCGGCGGTGTCCGGGAAGTGAACACGGTGTTGGAGTTATGCTTGAATGTAAGTAGTTTCAGGATCACTTCTTGATC